AAGTGAAAAAGGTGAAAGTAAAAAGGTAAAGGTAAAAAGGTGAAGGTAAAAAGGTAAAGGTAAAAAGGTGAAGGGAAAAAGGTGAAGGGAAAAAGGTGAAGGGAAAAAGGTGAAGGGAAAAAGGTGAAGGAAAAAGGTAAAGGTAAAAAGGTGAAGGGAAAAAGGTAAAGGTAAAACGTTAAAGGAAAAAGGTGAAGGTAAATAGGTGAAGGTAAAAAGGTGAAGAGAAAAAGGTGAAGGGACAAAGGTGAAGAGAAAAAGGTGGGAAAAGGTGAAGGGAAAAAGGTGAAGTGAAAAAGGTGAAAGTAAAAAGGTAAAGGTAAAAAGGTGAAGGTAAAAAGGTAAAGGGAAAAAGGTGAAGGGAAAAAGGTGAAGGTAAAAAGGTGAAGGGAAAAAGGTAAAGGTAAAAAGGGAAAGGGAAAAAGGTGAAAGGAAAAAGGTGGGAAAAGGTGAAGGTAAAAAGGTGAAGTGAAAAAGGTGAAAGTAAAAAGGTAAAGGTAAAAAGGTGAAGGTAAAAAGGTGGGAAAAGGTGAAGGGAAAAAGGTGAAGTGAAAAAGGTGAAAGTAAAAAGGTAAAGGTAAAAAGGTGAAGGGAAAAAGGTGAAGGTAAAAAGGTAAAGGTTAAAAGGTGAAGGGAAAAAGGGTAAAGGTAAAAAGGGAAAGGGAAAAAGGTGAAAGGAAAAAGGTGGGAAAAGGTGAAGGTAAAAAGGTGAAGTGAAAAAGGTGAAAGTAAAAAGGTAAAGGTAAAAAGGTGAAGGTAAAAAGGTAAAGGTAAAAAGGTGAAGGTAGAAAAGGTGAAGGTAAAAAGGTGAAGGGAAAAAGGTGAAGGGAAAAAGGTGAAGGGGAAAAGGTGAAGGGAAAAAGGTGAAGGGAAAAAGGTGAAGGGAAAAAGTTGAAGGGAAAAAGGTGAAGGGAAAAAGTTGAAGGGAAAAAGGTGAAGGTAAAAAGGTAAAGGTAAAAAGGTGAAGGGAAAAAGGTAAAGGTAAAACGTTAAAGGAAAAAGGTGAAGGTAAATAGGTGAAGGTAAAAAGGTGAAGAGAAAAAGGTGAAGGGACAAAGGTGAAGAGAAAAAGGTGGGAAAAGGTGAAGGGAAAAAGGTGAAGTGAAAAAGGTGAAAGTAAAAAGGTAAAGGTAAAAAGGTGAAGGTAAAAAGGTAAAGGTAAAAAGGTGAAGGTAAAAAGGGAAAGGGAAAAAGGTGAAGGGAAAAAGGTGAAGGGAAAAAGGTGAAGGGAAAAAGGTGAAGGAAAAAGGTAAAGGTAAAAAGGTGAAGGGAAAAAGGTGAAAGTAAAAAGATGAAGGGGAAAAGGTGAAGTGAAAAAGGTGAAAGTAAAAAGGTGAAGGTAAAAAGGTAAAGGTAAAAAGGTAAGGTAAAAAGGTGAAGGTAAAAAGGTGAAGGTAAAAAGGTAAGGTAAAAAGGTAAGGTAAAAAGGTAAAGGTAAAAAGGTGAAGGTAAAAAGGTAAGGTAAAAAGGTGAAGGTAAAAAGGTAAGGTAAAAAGGTGAAGGTAAAAAGGTGAAGGTAAAAAGGTAAGGTAAAAAGGTGAAGGTAAAAAGGTGAAGGTAAAAAGGTAAGGTAAAAAGGTGAAGGTAAAAAGGTGAAGGTAAAAAGGTGAAGGTAAAAAGGTGAAGGTAAAAAGGTGAAGGTAAAAAGGTAAGGTAAAAAGGTGAAGGTAAAAAGGTGAAGGTAAAAAGGTAAGGTAAAAAGGTGAAGGTAAAAAGGTGAAGGTAAAAAGGTGAAGGTAAAAAGGTGAAGGTAAAAAGGTAAGGTAAAAAGGTGAAGGTAAAAAGGTGAAGGTAAAAAGGTAAGGTAAAAAGGTAAGGTAAAAAGGTAAGGTAAAAAGGTGAAGGTAAAAAGGTAAGGTAAAAAGGTGAAGGTAAAAAGGTGAAGGTAAAAAGGTGAAGGTAAAAAGGTGAAGGTAAAAAGGTAAGGTAAAAAGGTGAAGGTAAAAAGGTGAAGGTAAAAAGGTGAAGGTAAAAAGGTGAAGGTAAAAAGGTGAAGGTAAAAAGGTGAAGGTAAAAAGGTGAAGGTAAAAAGGTAAAGGTAAAAAGGTGAAGGGAAAAAGGTGAAAGGAAAAAGGTGAAGGTAAAAAGGTAAAGGTAAAAAGGTGAAGGGAAAAAGGTGAAGGGAAAAAAGTGAAGGGGAAAAGATAAAGGAAAAAAGGTGAAGGGAAAAAGGTGAAGGGAAAAAAGTGAAGGGGAAAAGGTAAAGGAAAAAAGGTGAAGGGAAAAAGGTGAAAGTAAAAAGATGAAGGGGAAAAGGTGAAGGCAAAAAGGTAAAAAGGTAAAAAGGTAAAGGTAAAAAGGTAAAGGTAAAAAGTTAAAGGGGAAAAGGTGAAGGGAAAAAGGTAAAGGCAAAAAGGTAAAAGCAAAAAGGTAAAGGTAAAGGTAAAAAGGTGAAGGTAAAAAGGTAAAGTTAAAAAGGTAAAGGTAAAAAATTAAAGGTAAAAAGGTGAAGGCAAAAAGGCAAAAAGGTAAAAAGGTAAAGGCAAAACGGTAAAGGCAAAAAGGTAAAGGTAAAAAGTTAAAGGGAAAAAGGTGAAGGGAAAAAGGTGAAGGGAAAAAGGTAAAGGGAAAAAGGTAGAGGAAAAAGGTAAAGGTGAAGGAAAAGGTAAAAAGTTAAAGGTAAAAAGTTAAAGGCAAAAAGGTAAAGGCAAAATGGTAAAGGAAAAAGGTACAGGCAAAAAGGTAAAGGTAAAAAGGTGAAGGTAAAAAGGTAAAGGCAAAAAGGTAATGGTAAAAAGGTAAAGTTAAAGATAAACGTAAACGTAAAGGTTTTCCCCTTGACATTAAGTCTAGTTGAGTCCAACTCTGGAGGTTGGTGCTCATCTCCATTTCTAAGCCAAAGAACCAGCGTTGTCCATAGACACCTCCAAGGTTCTGTGGCCAGCATGGCTGCATGGAGCACGTTACCTTCCCACCGGAGCGTTACCTATTGATCTACTCACATTTGCATGTTTTCGAACTGCTAGGAAGGTTTGTGCAAAATTTTGGATTAGATCGAAACTCGGATCTGGACGTACGAATTTGGGCCTACGAAATTGAGTTCCGAGGAATGAAGATTCGTAAGTTTCGTTAGAGTTTCGAATTTTTTACACCGAAATTTGGGAAGGAGCTTTAGAAATGAAGAGCTAGCAACCTCTTACTTTGGAACGCATGTCTACATGCCTACTGCTAGGTTGGCAGAAGCTGGGGCTAATAATGGGAGCTCACCCCATCCTGCGGATTTGAACCACTGACCTTCCAGTCAGCAAGTTTTTCAGCTTAATGGTTTAACCCGCTGTGCAAATTAATGTAAATTACTAACTAATACTAAATACTAAATGACAAACTGAGTTGGGGATACTATAGGCACTGTTTTCCCGAGGTTGAGCTTTGAATGTGCCCTCTCCACTTCTCATCTTCTCCATCTCCCTTCTCTACAGGAAAAGATGACTTCCAAAGTGTTCATCGGACCCCTAGTTGCTATTATTTTGCTACGGATGGATGATGGGAAGGCAGATTCTCCAGCCATCCAATTCCATGCTCCAGGAGACTTCATAATTGGCGGTTTGTTTGCATTTCACTCCAAAGCCGAGTTCCAACTCCAGGACGGAAGGCCAGAGACTCACACGTGTTACAGGTGAGCAAGGAGCAAAAACATTGAAACCAGGGGGTTCTCTACATGTTCTTTTCAGAGTCAGGTGGTTCCAAAACAAACAAAAAGCCATGTTGGGACACTCTAGGACAGTGGTTCCCAACCTGTGGTCCGTGGACCACCAGTGGTCCCTGGTCAAAGTGGTCCATGGTCAAGTGGTCGCTTTTCAAGTCGTTCTTGGTCAAAGCGGGCCCTGGTCAAAGTGGTCCATGATCAAGTGCTCCTTGTTCAAGTGGTTCTTGGTCAAAGTGGGCCCTGGTCAAAGTGGTCCATGGTCAAGTGGGCCCTGGTCAAAGTGGTCCCTGGTCAAAGTGGTCCCTGGTCAAAGTGGTCCCTGATCGGGTGGTCCATGGTAAAAGTGGTCCCTAGTCAAAGTGGTCCCTGGTCAAGTGGTCGATAGTAAGTGGTCCCTGTTCACGTGGTCCCTGTTCAAAGTGGTTCATGGTCAAGTGGTCCCTATTCAAGTGGTTCTTGGTCAAAGTGGGCCCTGGTCAAAGTGGACCCTGGTCAAGTGGTTCTTGGTCAAAGTGGGCCCTGGTCAAAATGGTCCATGGTCAAGTGGTCCCTGGTCAAGTAGTTCTTGGTCAAAGTGGGCCCTGGTCAAAGTGGTCCCTGGTCAAAGTGATCCATGGTCAAGTGGTCCCTGTTCAAGTGGTTCTTGGTCAAAGTGTTCCATGGTCAAAGTGGTCCATGGTCAAGTGTTCCCTGTTCAAGTGGTTCTTGGTCAAAGTGGGTCCTGGTCAAAGTGGTCCATGGTCAAGTGGTTCTTGGTCAAAGTGGGCCCTGGTCAAAGTGGTCCCTGTACAAAGTGGGCCCTGGTCAAGTGGTTCTTGGTCAAAGTGGGCCCTGGTCAAAGTGGTCCCTAGTTAAAGTGGTCCATGGTCAAGTGGTCCCTGTTCAACTGGTTCTTGGTCAAAGTGGACCCTGGGCAAAGTGGTCCATGGTCAAGTGGTCCCTGGTCAAGTAGTTCTTGGTCAAAGTGGACCCTGGTCAAAGTGGTCCCTAGTCAAAGTGGTCCCTGTTCAAGTGGTCCCTGTTCAAAGTAGTCCCTGTTCAAAGTGGTTCATGGTCAAGTGTCCCATAGTCAAGTAGTCTCTGTTCAAGTGGTCCCTGGTCAAAGTGGTCCCTGGTCAAAGTATTCTCTGGGCAAAGAGGACCATGAGGGCTGAAGCTTGCCCATGTTTGTGCTATATGATATTTTTAAAACAATTGAACAGTGTATTGAGTTAAAGCCATTAAAACTCATTAAAAGATCGAAAGTTTCTTTAAAAATTGATGAAAGAGCAGACTATTAAAAGTGTGGAGTGGACTCTGATGGAATCGCCATGGCTTTGTGGTTTGTCTCATTCTTCTCCTCGTTAGATTCCACTCACCTGGCTACCAACAGCACCTTGCCATGCGCTTTGCCATTGATGAAATCAACAACTCAACCTCTCTGCTCCCCGGCATCACGCTCGGCTATGAAATCCACGACACCTGCAATGACGAAGTTGTGGCCACCAAGCTTGCCATCTCCTTCCTTTCCGAGGATCCCAGCAGCAGCCTTGCAATGCAATGCAGTTACACCGACTACAAGCCTCGGGTCATGGCTGTGGTCGGCCCCAACGTTTCAGGGCTGAGCATGCTAGTGGCTCAAGTCTTGAATTTCCTCTCCATCCCTCAGGTAAGACCCACTTCATTTTCCTTTATGGAGGAATTGAGGAGAGGTGGGGCTGATTGCCAATCGTTTTTTGACCTACCGTATATACTCGAAGATAAGCCAAGGCATTGCTTGCAATATATGATATATTCCTCTCTCTCCTCTTCCCCTCCCTAAACAGTGTGTTTTCTTTTCTGCTTCTGCCCTGCTTCTCCTCCTAGGCTGGAAGGTTTTGAAAAGGGAAAGGAGGGGGAGAGGAGCCCTTGCAGTATATGATCTATTTCTCTCTCCTCTTCCCCTCCCTAAACAGTGTGTTTTCTTTTCTGCTTCTGCCCTGCATCTTCTCCCAGGCTGGAAGGTTTTGAAAAGGGAAAGGAGGGGGAGAGGAGCGCTTGAAGTATATGTTCTATTTCTCTCTCCTCCTCTCCTCCCTAAACAGTGTGTTTTCTTTTCTGCTTCTGCCCTGCTTCTTCTCCCAGGCTGGAAGGTTTTGAAAAGGGAAAGGAGGGGGAGAGGAGCCCTTGCAGTATATGATCTATTTCTCTCTCCTCCTCCCCTCCCTAAACAGTGTGTTTTCTTTTCTGCTTCTTCTCTGCTTCTACTCCCAGGCTGGAATGTTTTGAAAAGGGAAAGGATGGGGAGAGGAGCCCTTGCAAGTCAGCAATACCCATCAATCTTATCAAAGCGTTTTCTCTTGAATATATATGTTAATCTCCCCTACAGATATATAGGCATGTCCACCTGTAAGCCTTTGCAATCCCTATGTACCTATATATCTGTATCTATCTATATACATTAATTATATATGTGAATTTTCCATCATACGTTTGCAGGTCTTTGAAAATCCTATATATATTTAGATATTGATAAATATATATATATGTGTGCATAAAGGTAAAGGTAAAGGTAGTCCCCTGACATTAAGTCCAGTCATGTCTGACTCTGGGGTGTGGTGCTCATCTCCATTTCTAAGCCGAAGAGCCAGCGTTGTCCATAGACACCTCCAAGGTCATGTGGCCAGCATGACTGCATGGAGCGCCGTTATGTATACATATGTGTGCATATGTATACATAAAAATAATTTTATATATGAATTTTCACTTCACATGTTTGCAAGTCTCTACAAATCTTATATAGATATCGATACATATATAGAGGTACCTATATATCTGTATATCTGTGTGTGTGTGTGAATACATAAAAATAATTTTATATATGAATTTTCCTCTTACATGTTTACAAGTCTTTGCAAATCCTATATAGATATAATTATCTATATATAGAGAGATGTCTAGATAGATATATAGGAATATAGATACATAGGGCTTGCAAATAATACAGGGTGAAAATGCACACACAAATATATATATATATATAGATAGATAGATAGATAGATAGATATGCATATAGATATATAGCGCATGCAAATACTGTAGGGGAAATTCATACACACAGAGAGAGATGTCTAGATAGTTAAAGATATATAGGGCTTGCAAATATTGCAGAGGAAATGCACACACAAAGATAGATGGATATGAATATAGATATATAGGGCTTGCAAATATTGCAGGGGAAATGCACACACATACACGTCTAGATAGTTATAAACATTGATATATAGGGCTTGGAAATATTGCAGGAGGGAAATACACACACAAATATATATATATATAGATATGTCTAGATAGATATGATTATAGATATATAGGGCTTGCAAATATTGCACCCACAAAGATAGATAGATAGATTAGATAGAAATGAATATAGATATATAGGACTTGCAAATATTGCACACAAAAAGATAGATAGATAGATTAGATAGATATGAATATAGATATATAAGGCTTGCAAATATTGCAGGGGGAAATGCACACACAAATATAGATAGATAGATATGAAAATAGATATATAGGGCTTGCAAATATAGCAGGGGAAATGCACACACAAAGGTAGATAGATAGATAGATAGATAGATAGATAGATAGATAGAT